CCACCACCACCACCACCACCACCACCACCACCACCACCACAGGGAAGGTGTCGAAGGATGGGGGGGGGAAGAGGGGGAGCGCAATGATTGCAAATGATTATAAAATGGTTCTGCTCACCTCAGCAATCTTTACGAACGCGTTCATAGACTCCATCCGTTTCAAAAACGATTTGTACGTGACCAACGAGGTACGACAATCCCGTTTGGACATGGTGAAATATCGACCTGACACGGATAAATTAATCGAGGAGTAATTACGGGAGAGGGGGCAGGAAACGGAGGAGAGAAGAGGGAACAGGGTCGAATAACTATGGTAAAAAGCCACGGATGCGCTTGAGAAAAAGGTTCGCCATTACCATCTGGAGCATGTCGTCACACAAACTCACACGGTCGCAATGTTGCTCGATAAGGCATGTGATGTGAATTACCATATTCGTGGTGAAACACAAGAGTATTACTAAATCGGTTACCTTTTTGTAATTTGTCTTTATGATATCCTATTTGCCCCGAGTCACGTATCCATGGCGCTATGCATAACACCAGTGAAACTAGTATATGGTTGTATTACAATATCAATAGATCTATCATCGATCTGGACGAGGGCAACTATGAGTTGAATCCGGAGAATTTATGCATCGCTCGAGATACTGTCAATACTGAGGTGTGGAGCTTAGAGACAAAAAAATCACTAGTTAACCACAATATGCGATTCTATGAATGCACGTCCTTTGTCATACTGCGCACACACATAGAGCGGCTCAGAGTTAGAACCCAATGTGCACCAAGGACACAGCCGAACATCGGGGATAAGTCATTACCAAAGAAAGGAATATACAGGTCCAATGTGACGTGCATTACTTTGAATTCGTAGAACAAGCGTGGTCAATCATATATATATATATATATATATATATATATATATATATATATAATTCACCGAACAAATCACACTAGGAACTTTTCCCTGATGCTCGACGTGCACACTTTCAAACTGACAGCTGAAGTCACCGTTTTTGAGAGGGTATCTGCTAGTTTGAAGCATTTCAGCCCGCCATGGGATTTCCCCTCACCATTAATCATAGTGGTATTTTCATCTGGTCCAGTCTCTTTTATCTTTTAGATATAACGACGACTGACTATGATAATTATCGAATCGCACGTCTCTAGAGTTTGTCCATTGTAAGACAGAAGTAACAAAACCCACGCAAGCCCATCAATTCAATTCAATTCAAGAACAAACAGACCACACTGTGGTGGTACACTTTTTTCGGACTTCAGCAAGACAACAGAAGTGTTGAACACACCGAACACACCGGGGATGCTACTTTTTGTCTGCTGACGTAACATTTCGAAACAAATTGATTAGCTCAGCGAATGGACGAAGATGAAAAAATCTGATTTGAAATTCAAATTGTCCGGACTAATGAAGTCCCTATTTGGACTGTAACATATCACAGAAGACAATGATGTCCGATTTTGTCTGAGAACACCAGCGAGGTGTACAAAATCAGAAGCACGAGCTACTCCCAACTTTTAGCTTCTATTCATCCGACAATCTACTAGTTTATCGAAAAAACGCATCTAGACTTTCCAAATTTCAGAATAGATGGTGATTGATCACATCACTTCATTCTGCCCCCCCCCCCGCCGGGGCAGTACCGCGTTCATTTAACGAGATTTGTTTAATAAACTACAATTATCCCCAGAATTTCGATTTTGCGTTGATACGTTGCACTAAGATTGTGGAATTTGTCTGTTCCTCTTCTTTCTCATCAAACTGGAACGTGGCACTAGGAAAATCCAAGAAACGTAAAGTATAAACAGCTTTCATTTCGGGTATCATATAATCGGATAATCAATTCACAATTCCGTTCGACATCGATCGATCACCGTAGTTCGGATAATCTGCCGGATACCAACGTAGCCACACGCTTACACCATAATGGACCAATTCATCGCACTGAACAAACGCAATTCGCGCTTTCCAATTAACTCGATAAACTCATTCACCAGGTTTGTCCACAGAAAACAAGGAGTAATTAATCCATCAAAGTTGATACCACTGTAGAAAATAGGACTTCCTTGAGACAACGTGATGTAGTGGACAACACGTCTACTTCCCAGGTGCCCAGCTGGATAAGCACGAGCTCCACAGGATACCCTATCATGCCAGACTGGTCACCAGCGTCACCGTTCACCTTGGCAAATTTAATGATTAAAGAAACACCAGATCTAATCGATACGGAACTAACAATCAGGCGAGCAGGGGAATGAGGGAGCAATTCAGATGAAACTGATATATCTGGACGATTCTACATGAGCTAGTTAGTTGTAACTGACACCGCTGATGGGTGTGCCAAGACAGCTCACACAACACGATTGGAAAGCTAATTCACTTAAAAAACAGGAAATTTGTGTCGGACCATGATTAATTTATCAGGCATCGTGCCACTCTCTCAGTGTAGGCGATAGGCATGCCTAACCAGATGGTCTTCGCATATCTCACCTCAATGATCGCGTGTCAAACGGCATTCTTTCCATCACTATGACGGATAGCAAAGGAAAGTTAATGATCCGTACATGAAAAACAATCACACGCGCACACACTTGGATCGTTACAAATCAGATCATATATTTGGCCTGGATATACAATCGATTGAGGATAAACCAAATTTGGCTGGTGATCACATACCGAAACCAAACAGGTCAGAGGAATGTAACAGACTGCATGCTGACCGACCAGGGAATAAAAAACGTGGAAATA